ATATGTTTGATATTTTATGAGAGATAAATGTATCAGCTTCAAAATAGAAAAGATTGCGCAGCCATAGTGATTGACAGTATGTAGTGCGCATTGAGAAAAGAAGGTGCTCTCCATTTCGTCATGTTCAGTATTTTGGTCAACTATGCCTGTTGAAAATTTGATGGCGGGGAACACATGGGACTTCAAAGGCATCGCGCAAATGTTCTTTACGCGCTGCGGCAACTTTGATCTTGGTTCATTTGCATAGCGCTGCGTGCACGTAGCTTTGCCGAGTGATCTCCTTCTCAATAATACCTCCATGGTATAACAACAAAATAAATGGTAGTTATAAATTTGATAAATACAGGTTTCCCTCTAATTAAATATACCACCTAAATTTTAAGGCAATTTCTGCAACACTTATCATTTTATTCTTTAGAGCTATTACTTTAGTCACAAAAGTGGGAGAGTATTTTATTGGAGGGCAGCTTTTATAAAAATAAAGTTAACATAAATCTGAATATATAGCATATATTTTCATGCTGCTGTTATTAACATAAATTAGCATTCTAATAATTAATAATAAAATAACTACTTGGAATTAACAGCTCAGTATTTCAAGGTTGCTCTATATAAAAAAAAAACCTAACTTATAGGGTTTACTTATAAGTCCATATTACCTGTACTTATAAATATCCCATAATCTAAAAATCACTAGCAATAAAATAAATATATATATATAGTTTTTTTTTTTTTAACTGATGCCAACACTTGTTTGTGCAATAATAGTGATTAAGTTTACAAGTCATAATTAATTAATTACACTGGAAATATGCTTAGTCTTTTAATTTATGCAAATAAAGTACATTTATTGAACCTTTAATCAGAACACCTTATGACAGTTTTATTCTTCAGAATATCAATAGAATAATATGTAACTACATGAATGTAATTATCCAGTAAAATCCTGTGGAATCTGGACATTGCTAAATTATCCATCAAAAACGATTTCTATATCTTTGACAGAAAATAATTAAGCTGTTAGCTCTCATTGCCTGCACAGGATATTTATCTGGGGCCATTTTAAGGAGCACTGATGTCAAACTACAGTACTTCCTTAAAACATGAAATATGCTGAAGCGTGCAGGGCTTCTTCCCAGTGTAGTGTGCCCCCAAAGAAGCCTTCCAGGGGCCTCAGAGCTATCTGTTACGCCACTGTCTCTATTATCATCATCAGGCTTGTGCCATCAACATAATTTAAGTATAGAATATTACTAAAGATATATTTATATTGAATAATTTTATCGCATATATTTCTAAAGATGTGAAAGCATGCTTGATATATGTACAAGGTCATTTA